TGACCATTAGGTGCAGTTTTCCAACTCTGAAGTCCCTGTATTAGCCTGGCCCATGAAACTGAATTAAGAGGATGGAGCATCATGCTGACTAACAAGGACTTCCGCAAGCCCTTTATGTGTTGGAGAGAGAGAAGTTTCTTGAAATGCTGTACTCCCCATGGAAAGAAATGTCAAGAATAAGAAGGTGAACAAAACCTGTAACACTTTGCCAAGCGCCAGAGAAGCCCATACTAGTGTCTCTAGCCTCTTGCCTCCAGAGGAGGTTTCACCATCTAACGTGTCAGATCTTCCCAGATTTTTGCCCAAAGTAGCACATCCTGTAGCTGGACCCCAGAAAAGGCAACCACGCACTGCAATTGTATCAAAACAGTCAGATTCTTCAAACATGTCTCAGGTGCCACTGAATCGGCCTGTCATCCCACCAAGAAGACCTTGTTTCAAGATATGCTATATCTGTGGCAGAGAATTTGGATCACAATCTATATCTATACATGAACCCCAGTGCCTAGAGAAGTGGCGCACTGAAAACAATCAGCTACCAAGTCATCTTAGAAGACCTGAGCCCAGGAAATCTGAGGTCCTTACTGGTGGTTCCTATACGCTTACAGCTGAAAATGAGGCAGCTTATCAGAGTGCGCAAGCCCAGCTCCTGCCCTGTAGAAACTGTGGCCGAACCTTCTTTCCTGACCGTCTCATGGTGCATGAAAAGTGTTGCAGAGGAGGTAGCAGCAGTGTGGGGCAAACACACACTAGCCCCAGTAAATCTGGTAAAGGTCCAGGCTTTGGGTCTGCCTCAGCAAGTGATCCATCTAAGACGCGTCAAGGCAAGAGTGGGACTGCACCAACCGTATCAGACAAGGTAAATTGCTAAGCATGTGGAAGGGTGTGGATCCATTTTGATGCTAGATGCTCTAGGGAAGACTGGGTTCCCATAAAATTTAAAATCACTTTCCTTCAGAAGGATCTTTTGGCTCCATGAAAATGTGTCTATGCTGAACAGCAGGTAAAGGGAATGGGAATACTCTGTGTACAAGGGAAACTGCTTATTCTTGTTTCTTTCAATTTTCCCATTGAAAGGGAGTAGTTAGGTTCTCATACTCTATTGTCCTGTGAAAATTATGTCCCCAAAAGGGACCATTGTGTGCTATAGTTCCCTAGTAGATTCTGTTGGGCAGGTCAGGCAAGCTTTGAATTTTATGTTTTAGCAGGTATTAAGTATTTTTATTTAGTTAACAGGAAATATGCTTCATTATCCTGTAAGCTCTCCAGAGATTTTCATATATTACCATTATTCTTAACCTTGGCGTGGAACATGAGTTTACTGAGTACTGCATGTTCAAAAGCAGCAACTCAGGGTATAACAACAAAATAAATAAGACTGCACATTTCTTTCCACTGAATTTGATTCAAGATCCAAGAATAAAGAAGCTGATTCACATTATCCAAAAGCTACACAAAGTTTTGGAAAATGGCATATTTTTTTTTCTGCACTTGTTTCTACACAAGCTGTCTTTTGGCCAGGAGTTTTGTAAGATAGATGTCTAAATTTAGGCACAGTGTCTAAAATAAAAGGCTTTTTTTTGTTTGTTTGTTTTCAGTGGAGGTTGGTCTCCTGATTGCCTACACTACTTTTGAAAATGGAATTTAGCTTTCTCAGTCACCAAAGGAGCACAGTGCTATGCAGAGCATTTATAAAAATGTTTTTCAAGTCAAAGCATGCTATATTGTGGTTTTCCAGCTGCTGAATAAAATGGAGATAACAACACTACCCTAACAAACATGAGAATGAAGACATGGGGAATTTTTATATTTTGCTGTTTTAAGCCACTAATTCATAGTTATTGGCAGGTTAGGTCCACTCCTCAGATCTTTTATCAGCAAACTTCGAATCACCCACTAACAGTTCAAAGTGCTGCAGAGGTGCATCTATAGCTATAGGGAAGATGTTCTTACTGCGTTACGCTATAGTGTACCATTTACTTAAGAACTGGCATTGCTGTAAATGTGATTGTTCAATGAAAGGCATGGATGTGAAGCAGAGAGTTTTGTCTGCCACACATAATTCTGTATGTTTTTTTAAAAAAAAAAGTGTGTGGGGGGGAGAGGGGAAGTGTCCATAGTTATATCAAAAAACCCTAACCAAAACCAAAACAACCCAAACCAACCAAGTTTAGAGTGTGGTTTGGCTTTGAGAGTGACCCTGCAAAAATGTTGCCTTCTTGCACAACAGATCTTCTCCTTGCATGGATTCAGTCACATCTGTTGACTTGTTGAAAAACATTATTATTACCAGTTTTTACTTCCATGAGCTCAGCAGAGCCAGAATGAAATGTATTCAAATCTGTTCTTTCTTCTGTGTGAACAACAGGTTTCCTCATTTACTTGCAAGCAGTTTCAGTTCATCTGTTGCAGCAGAAGCAATGAGCCTGTACAGCTTGCAGTTTGTGATTGACTCTGAAGGACTTTATTATTGACAATAACTTTCAGGAAGGGATGATTTTGCCTCTCTGAGGACCTTCGTTTTTATTAGTTTTATAGCTGTCCTTTTGTACAGAGGTACAAAAGGCAGAGAGAGGAAAAAAAAAGAAACATCCTGTGATCCCAGCAGCTGCTCAGTACTGGCAAACTGCTTCTAAGAAGTGGTCAAAAGAAGCCTCTGTTCCATAGGTTTAAATTCTCTGTGTGAGGGTCACAACCTCCAGTTAAAAGTTTTGAAAGGTCCACACAGTGAAGTATGTTGAAAAGCACTAAGCTCACGGAAGTCCTGCAGGTTCGCTATGAACTGGGACAAGGTCTGGGTCTTCTCTGCAGTCTTCTTCATCTTTTTCCAGCATATGGTTTTAATTTTGTTCACCTTACCAGCTACTCAGCTGCTTATTACTTCTGTTAAAAAATACCAGTAATGGAGTGAAATAGGAACCTGCTTTGGTCCTGGCAGGAAAGCATTTGGGGCTTTAAAAGTTTGAAATTCCTGATTCAGCAAAACGTCAGAGGGAAGGAGTAACTGCAAAACCAAAACCCAACCATTATATAAGTCAAATTAACTTATGTCCTAAATTAAAAAGCTGGATTTTTCTCATTTTAAAAATAAAGATCTGACTGATCTGGTGGTATATCATGTGAAGGGCATTTTATCTTTACAACCGCAAACCCTTTTATCTGCATGCCTCTGCCCTGGAGCTCTCTCTCCCTTAGCCAGTGCAAGACCAACTAGACCAGTATCGTTACTGACAAACACTTAATTCATCACAAAATGCCTTTACAGGTGGAGACTCAACAGCCACGATAAGCCATCTTTTCCGCTAACTGTTCTTGCTTTCAGAATCCATTAACACATCTGAGTTAATCATGTCTGGCTATGTAGAACAGCCTATGTTTAAGACACAAGCAGGGGTCATATCAGCTCAGAAATTCTGTTTGGTTTGTGCTGTGATATCCCACACAATGGAAGTGATGTCTGGAACTACTGAAGCCCAGACTTGCACTAGAGCAGAGTGTGACTTTTATTCTTTCACAGACCAAAAACTGTTCTACATGTGTGTATTAACGACTTGCTGTGGGTATATGTGCTACAGTTTTTTTGACAGCAGATAATGCTGAAATCCTAGCTTAACAGATGTGTCACTAGCGTCTGATGCTGCCACCTGCTGTTTTCTTCTTATCAAGTTTAAAAATAAGATCTCGCTGACGTATCTTTTACTGTATTGTAATGCATTTTAACACAGCGTAAGTTTTGAAAACTTATTTTCAAACAACAACTTTGTTTTCAAACAACTTAGTTTTCAAATAATAAAATGTTGATGTCGTAGCTTGCTCTAGCATAAAGTCACCTACTTACCTGGTAAAATGAAAACTCCTTCAGATGCTGTGCAATTCTAGTGAAGGTAGGAAGTCAGTGATAAACTTTGTCTGCCTCGGTTGCAGCAGTTTCAAACATCTTAGAAGAATACTGACAAATATATTTGCAAACATAGAAAGTTGGATGAGAATAGACAGTGAATAGATTGCTTGAAGGAAACTTCCGGAGTATTGCCTCCGGGAATGATTGAGCTTCCTGATTTCTACCTTTACACAAAATGCCATGTTCATTGTACTAGTGTATTTCTTTGAAAAGACAGCAGATCAGGAGTAAAATGGGATGTTCTGGTGCTTCCAGTGTTGTAAAATCTTTAATTGCGTCATCATCTGGCAGAATTACTTTGTTGTTCAAAGAAATTTCATATGCAGGCATGCAACCTGTACTAATGTTAATCTGCTGTTGTGTCAAGGCAGTGGCTAACAGCACCCCAGAGGTCTGTGAAATGCACCTTCGGATGGTTGTGAGAGCCCTGCCACAGCTTGTCCCTGTCCCTTATGTAAAATGCCTCTTACTTTCCAGAGAGGAATGTGTGGAAAGGGCTGCTTTCATACAACACAATGCTGTTGCTAAGTGTGCACACCAATCTTTTCCTGAGCCTCTGTTCCTTGGGCAGTTCAAGCCTACAATGGGAGCTTTGGCCTAGAGCAGGAAGCCTCCCCTCCTCCCATTCAAATACATGGATAATTAAACAAATAAGAAAGGTGGGGGGGTGCACAGTCCCGGATGATAAATATTTATGGAGGGAGTTTTGAGAATCAGTCTTATTGGGTGTACTTAAGAAGAAATTAAAACCTTTGTGCAGTATGGGAGGATTTGACCTCACATAACACCATAACAGCAGCCTGGGGCTAACCTCAAGCAATGTCAGGTCTATTGAAAATACATAGTGGCATAGTCCTCTGAGCTAAATAACTTCATTCATGGTCACACAGACATACTTAGCTGTCTTGGAGAAAAAAGAAAATACTGAGACACCAGAGGAAAGCCTAACTGCACTGTTAGGTATTTATAATAACACATATCCCCAGGAATAGACCTTCCCTACAAGCTTTTTTAAAAGTGAAAAACAAAGCAGTGAGCAGACAGCCTAGCCACTGGCCTGTGAGTAGTTTGGGTTGGAAAGTTGTGGTGATTCCAAAAATAGTTTAGTTTCAAACTGCAGGCCTCCAGATGTGACATTTGGGATAGGCACACTCTGAAGAGAAAAAGAAATGAAGGATAAATATCATCAGCTGTAGAAATTCCAAAAATAAAGCTTATCATACCTAAGATTCTGCAGTGAAGCAACAACAGAGCTGTTACTACTAGTTGTAAGGATGATCTCCAAGTTTTATTTTTCAGCTTTTTAACAAGTGTGTGTTTGCAGAGAAGGATTTCTGTACATAATTGGACTTGTGATGGTGGTTCTGCATTTCTGGGGGAAAAATAATCCATCCTTGGAGTGATCTGAACTCTTTTAATTAATTCTGGTCTCTGCTATTGTTTCTGTACAGTTTTCAATTGTAGAAGTTACAAAACAGACGTTTCTACTTGAACAGATTTCTTAAACATTTGTTTCAACAAATAGGATTTAGTTATGAATCAATCCCAATAGATAACTTTGGAATCAGAATCCTCTATTTAGCTACAGGCCTGGTTTTATTCATTTGTGACGCAAAAGACACCTATAATCACTCTGTCAGGACCTGGAGGATTCACAGTGCTGCTCTTTGGGTTTTCAGGTGAGACTGCCAGAAAGACCATCTCAGAACTGTGGAAATGTATCCAGATTTCCCTAGATGGATATCTCTAACTCTTGTCTTGGTGTTCTGTGGCAGCTGTTCAGTAGCAGAACATCACAGTGACTTTAGAACAAGTGTAATGGATTTGAATGATGCAGTCAGAGACAAAAGGCTATCTTTGTTCACTAGGGAAATGTATCTAAGATGAATTTTTTTTTTTATTTTTACAAAGATATTTCTGTGTATCTGTTAAATTTATTGAGAGTATTTAATTTTTTAAGTGATTTTTCACCTGTCTAATATCAGGACTTAAGTCTCCTCGAAGCTATACATTTGTTTTAATCATGCTGCTCCATATGTTGGCAAGTGTGGTGCAGGCTAAATAAGCATGATTTTCAATTGTATTAGGTTTCTTTGTCCCCATTCTGGTAGTACATAAGGAATCCATACAAACCGAATGTAAATCAAGTTGCTCTTTCCTCATTTTCAACCAATAAATCAACTATTTTACTGAATGGCAAGAACCTAGCTAATGAAAACTAATAAGGAAAATGTGTTCCCAGTGTTTTTACACCTAGCATTTTTTTAGAAAACCATTTCCAAAATGTTATAAACATACCCATGATAATCATGCACACTGAAACGAGCCCCCTGACCTCAAGAAGATAGAAAAGTATCCTCATCTAAAGCTCTCTGGAGCCTACAAAGAAACATATATTGTGTTCAAAAGACCCTGTATCTAGACCCAGAGTCTTATCTCCAAATCAGACAAAATCTAGCTCAAGAGCTGAAGTAAGGAAGTAGGTGAAAATTGATTATGACAAATTAGCAGGCATTCTTAAAACAGCTGTTGCTATATTCAGCTATGAACAGGAAGAGAAGGTTATGCATATATAAAAACTTTTTTATCAAAGATAGCTAAGGAAATTCCATTTAAAGTTAAGTGAATGAAAATGTCTTTGGAAAAACTGTCTTTGGATAAGTTATATTTCAAATCACTGTGAGAACTTTCCAGATGACGTCCAACTTTTCCTGGCAAAAACACATTTTGTAGAGTAGTATTTCTTTATGTAATTGAGTTTACATGTGTGATACAGGAAAGAAAGCTTATGCAGATCATTCACTAATGACATTTTCAGACTCTAGCATAAATAGGAGAAGGGCTGCCCAGAATTTCTTGAATACACTGATGAATACACAGAGAGAATCATAAATACTAGAACAGGTTATGCTTTGTCTTACACAGCAGCAGATGAGAAAATTAAGTCCTCGCCTCCCTTGTTCAAGTGAGAAAGGCTTCCTGTGTTTGGTCTGGAATGGCTGTCCTTCTACCTTTAGGAGAGCAGGCTATAGCACAATCCTTACTGGTATTCTGCAGTCAGCAGTGCAGACAGTGCTGGGAGCTGTGAGATCCATCAATGTGCCTCAAAATGCTGTCCCTACAGTACCTTTTTACGCTACCCTGGAGCAGGGCAGGTACTGACAGCATGCCAGTCCAGGACACGCCTAACAACAGAGTTGAACCCATTTTCTGCAATACCACAGTAATTATATATTTTTTAAGCTTAGAATATGCATTTGTGGGGTTTGTGGTTGGGGGATTTCTTTTCTTCCATTGACATGTTCTTCTCTGCAAAGAAAATCAGATCTTCAGTGCAGAAACAATGACTTGCTTAGCGTCCAGTTCTGCCCTCGCTGCAGTCACTGGCAAAGTTCACACTGAGGCCTTCAGGGTAAACAAGCAACAGTTCCTATTTTGCCCCCCAATCCTGAAATATCCTGGATTGGCTTTAATCTGTTAAGGCCAAGAATTTCACCATCTTGCTGATCTGTGGCAGATGTAACACAGGGTTAGGGACCACAATCAGAAGCTTGAGACAGCTACCCTTACTGGCTGAAGAGAGATCCTAAGGCTGGACACAGTGCTTTGACTGTGTTTTGACTAGGGATGGGGTCTTTCTGCTACTGTGCTAGACACCAGCAGTTCAGCTGAGGAAGCTTTTGTTGCTGCTTTCCATGTTACTTCTCTTTGGTAGGTAAAAAAAGGGCTTCAACATTTAAGCTGGATACTGTGCTGCAGCAACTTGATCATGCAGAGGAGTTGTTTCTGCATATGAAGACTCAGCACTCCTGTGAACATGATGGCATGAAAATAAAAGAGCTAAAACTTACACAGCTAAGTATTAACTAGGTGACACACACAAATTGTCAGCCCAGTATCTGCAGGAACCTACCTGTCCCAGGTGACCAGTTAATGAGATAGTACCTCTTATAAGCTTCAAGAATGTATCTAAACAAAACAAAACAAAACTAATAGTTACACTGATTTCATAGATAGAAATCATTTCGTTAGTCTACATGATTGTTTCAATTCAAAGTTGTTCTGACTCAAAATCAATGTCAAACCCAGTATTTTTTATTCTTCATAATTATTATTTGCAGGCACAAGTGATAAAACGGCCACCAACAGTGATTTGTTACATATGTGGCCGTGAGTATGGAACAAAATCTATTAGTATCCATGAGCCACAATGCCTGAAAAAATGGCACCAGGACAATGACTTGCTACCCAAACACTTGAGAAGGCCAGAGCCCAAAAAGCCTGAAGTCAGACCTGTGCAAGGTAAGCTACAGATCAAATGAGGAAAAGGAAAGAAGAAAGTGGGAGGAATTTAAAAAGAAATAAATAAATAAATAAATAAATAAAAATTAGGCAGTAGATTATTTTATGGTTTGCAAGTACTTTTCTCCTATTCACTCCAAAGAGAACATAGCCATAATGGCTTGTTTTATGCTTTCTGCTGACTATCTTGTTCTCCTTTTGTACTGCATCCATGAGAAATAAGAGTAGTTGTTGCCTTGTGGGACATGCCTCTTGAGACAGTCCTCTATGTGTCAGTATGTTCTGAATCAAAACATGAAAGGATTAGCAATCTGCTTCACAGCTACATCATTACCTTTTGACTAGTTCCAACACTGTAAACAGGCACTATTTAAAATGGGAAAAAGCATCCAAGGATAATGTACAGACTTGATACATAGTCATTAAAATAAAATACACTTCAGCATAGGGATAGGTGCTTCAGCCAGGTTTTATACTTATAGCATCAGTTAGAAAAAACAGCCTGACACTGGCACTTAGTACTGGTAAATAGTGAGTGGCCTCGAGGAGTTCTGTGGTAAAAAAAAAGAAATACAACACTAGATGCATGATGACTTGTAGGAAAAAGGTATTTTTAAAATCTATTAGCCTAGGACCTTAAGATCATGTAAGGTGGCTGGAATTAGATGATCTTAAGGTCCTTTCCAACCCTGACCATTCTATGGTTCTGTGAAAACCTACTACTATACTGTAGTTTCAATTTTTTATTAAAATTTATTTATGGATGAAAATGCAGCATCTTTTACAATGAACATGCAGAGGATTTACAAGCCTTAGAAGCTTTCTTTGTGAGACTATTATAATATTTGTATTACAAACACAGTGGGGAAAAAATATACATAGTAAAAACTACATATTCTATTTCTGCCAATTACGTGAGTTTGAGCTGTGGGTTCTGTTTTGTAAGTTGCCTAGATCCCACCTCTTCAAATCTATGAAAATTGATGATCCTTAGCACCCAACAGTCTTGGGGTCGCATATGTAATCCAGGAGTATGTACTCACTATAGGACCAAAAGAAAATATTACCTGTGCTTTGCCTGGAAGCTGCTCTAAGAACTGCCCCAATCCCACAGAAAGTTATTTCACCATGTCAGCTGGATGCTTCCCCTGGCCCTGTCAGCTGGTCTGAGCTACTTTGGGCTAAATGTGGACCACTCGCTCACAGGCAGTTAATTCACCCACTTTTTTTTTTTTTTCATATTCCCCATAATTTCCTGCAGCTTCTCCTAATGTCTGGAAAAGTAGGCAAATTTCTCCTACAGCTCACTGTGAAAGAGTCATACACTAGATCAATTTACAGCTGTACAAAGAAATATGTCCCCAGAAGAAACACACAGAAAAGAGCAGGGTCACTGAGAATACTAGCCAGCTGTCCAAAATACTAATAATAATGGCTCAAACAATATCAAATCAGGACATGGTTAACATATTCCAAGCAGAAGAGTTGAATCTGCAGTAAAAGATAGGTTCAAAATGCATTTTCATTGTGTTTGGTCTTTTTGTTGTTAAGCTTTTCTTAATATTACATGTTGTGTGTTAAAAAAGATGGAGAAAATGAGAATTCCATCTGAAAGAGGAGGATGCAAAAGGACAAATCAGGTTTTCAGAAATACACTATTCTTATTTTGAAGGAGTGGAAGCAGAAAGACAACCACTCTTTGAGAGGACAATCCAGCAGAAGACTCCCAGATATGAATCAGAATATTGTCTCATTTACGCAATGAGTCATATGAGGCGCCGTGCATCTCTTACGAGGTGTTGTGTGCCCGTGGTTCCCCAGAGGACACTAACCTGCTTCCAGCATCTGTTCTTAAATGCCTGCTGATGCAAGTCTGATCAGTTCTGTAGCTTGAGCCAAAATTTCTGTTCCTCCTGCCATTGCCTCATGCTCCTGGCCTCGAGAAAATAATCTCAATGTTGTTCTTTTTCTGTAAGACTTACTCTCGATCATCTGGTAAACGCTATAACTGACCTTGAGACCACATACACGTACTGCATGTCTCACAGTCTCCTAACTTAGGGAGGAGGGATTACCCCTGTTGTTGAATGGAACAGGCAATGTTCAAAAAAAGCTCTGAAATATTAACTGCTTACATAAAGCTTTTTGTAACTTGCATAAATCTTTTTCTGAAAACTCAAGTGTCACGGGAAGACAACCACTGCCCTGATTACACAGTGTTTGGTTTGTGGAATGCCTAACACATGCCTCCAAGGAGAAAGTAATCTCTCTTT